AACATTACAGAGATGGTAAGCTCCTCTACAATAATAATATGCAGCTATTAAATTATGTCCTTAAAAACTCTTTCCCTAGGGCTGGCCAAGTGGTGTGTTGATTAGGGGTTGTCTTGGGATGCCAGCTCTGAACAGCAGGGCCCGGATTCGGATCCCACATGAGGGCCAGTGACACTGCGCCCTCTACAGCTAAGATGGTGAACAACAGCTCGACCTGGAGCTGGGCTGCCGTGAGTCACCAGCGAGGGCGAAGGCTGTGGTGGGTCTGGCTGGCAGCGGGCATGAGCTTTCTTCATGAGCTGCGGTGAGCTGCAGTGAGCGGCCGTCCAATGGCCAGCGAGCAACTGCCTCACCCGGGAAGAGCACAATGATAATACCAACATGGGCCAGTGAAGTGACAGCCTCCACAACTAGACTGAAAAACAAAAGGACAGCAACTTGTCTGTTCCCCTTCCCCAATTCCCCAACGCTGTTCCCCTCCCCCTACTCCCCAATAAAATCTTTAAAAACAAAACAAAAACTCTTCCCCTAGAATGAGGGAAGGATCCATTTTTAAAAGTATCTTCAGCCAAAGTAGCCCTGATTATTCAAAGTATACTAAAATAAAACCTCTGAGGCTTCTACTTCAGAAATCTGGCCAGACTCCAATAGATATTAAACACCACAGAAATATGATTTCACTTATATGTGTAATCTAAAAAAATAAGGTAAATAAACAAAACAAACTCATAGATACAGAGAACAAATTGGTGTTCAATAGATAAGAGAGGGGTTGGGAGATGGGTGAAAAAGGTGAAAGGGATTAAGAAGTACAAATTGCTAGTTATAAAAATAATCATGGGGATATAAATACAGCATAGAGAATATAGTCAATCTTATTGTCATAACTATGTATGCTGTCACATGGGTTCTAGACTTATCAGGGGGATCACTTCATAAGTTATATAATTGTCTAATCACTATGCTACACATCTAAAAGTAATATAATATTGTATGTCAACTATAGTTGGAAAAATAAATTTTAACATAAACAACACAAGAGACATTATGCTCTACTTTTAAAGTCTTTAAGTATGGTATTCAATGGAACTGCCTGGTTCAGGGCAGAGCACATACGGTGCATATCTAGACATTTCATCTTTGGGTTGGCTGATCTATTGAATCAAACAGGAAGACTAGAGCATGAACTGAAGCTCTCAGATGAACTCTGCAGTTTGTGGAACAACCCAAGCCAATCCATGGAATGCTGATGGCTCCAATTCAGGAAAACGCCCTATCCCTTTGGTTATCCCATTCACAACATCAGCCTACTCCCCAGACAACCTTTGCACTAATAAATGGGGGGTTTCTATTATCTTTTTCTGCAGATCTTAAAAAGGGCCGCAGGGAGAAATGTATTTTTCTGTGAAGCTTGCAGTCTAAATGCTGCATAGCAAAATACACTTTTCTGTCAAAAAAAAAAAAAGGAAGCATACTGAGGAACTGGCTTTTTAAGAAAGTCATACTGAAGAGGGAAAGACTACTTTTTTTTAAGTATCCATGTGTGCGGTAAGAGGGAAGGAATTTAGTGCGGAGAAAGCTGTTCAAATTAACCTAAAATGGAGTTTCTGGACGAAATCTACTGCTTACCTCTCCTTGCTATTACATGATTCTATTGTCAATGATTCACAAAGGAGTCACTGTCTCCTTAAGCTATTCAGTGCTAGGAGTTCCCCAGTGAAATTCCACCGTGTGTGCGCGCGTGTGTGTGTGTGTGTGTGTGTGTGTGTGTGTGTGTGTGTGTCCACCCCCACCCCCACCCCCCCGATGATGACCAGCTTAAAGGACAGCACAGTGTGGACTACTCAACTCAGTGCTGACCTAATAACATTCTCACGTACATGATAGGCTCCGAAAGGTTTCAGCTGCACCCTCAGACTCTGTTGCCTCGTCCAGTATTTCCAAGAAGAGCTGGCCTCCAGTCCAAACTGCCTGCACACTGAGTGGTGAGGAAAGGCACACCCTTCCAGATAGGAATGAGTAATTTTCAGTTGCCCCTCTTCCCAGTGTCATCCAAGAAGGGAAAGGAAAAGCGGATTCAAGTGTGTTGAAGCTTGGAAAGCCGCTCAATAAACCACAGCTTCTGGGGAGGAAGGTGCAGAGCTTTAAGGTACAGGTTCCTCTGCATGTGAACCAAAGAGAAGGTTAATCACCAATTAAGAGAACTGAGCTTAAGCTGTGGGGTCTGGGAAGATAACTGTGGAGGAGCTTAGAATCGTGGATTCTGCTGGGCCCTCTCAGAGACACATACAGGGCCCTTCCTTTCTACTCTGTATCCCTCACCCAACTTCACTGACTTTCCCTTTTTAGGAAAGAAACGCACACACACAGGAACACAAAAATATCAATGCAGTTATACCCTTCCTTTCACCACACATGCAAATCCTGGTGTTCTCCTTTTGCTTTCTATGTTGACATTTTGCTTGTGAGCATTTTTAAAAGCAGCAGTCAAGTGGGAGGTGGGAGAAACGGGTGAAGGTGGTCAAAAGGTACAAAAGGTCTGGGGATGGAATGTACACCACAGTCACTAAAGTTAACAATACTGGAATGTATATGTGAAAGTTGCTACGAGAGTAGATCTTCTAAGTTCTCATCACAAGGAAAAAAATGGTAACTATGTGAGGTGAAGGATGTTAATTGAACTTACTGTGGTAATCATTGTGTAATATGTACATACATCAAGTCATCATGCTGTACATTCTTACACTTAGACAATGTTATATGTCAGTTATACTTCAAAACTAGAAAAAGTAAAAGATAGTCACTTGCTGTTACTTTGTTTTAAAATCATGACCCCCTTTAGCTGTGAAGACTGGCTGGGAGCCTTCATCAGATGCTTACGGCTGGTTAATGCCATAAAAAGTTTGAGCCAAAATGAAAAACGATTCTTACTCCCCCTTGCTTGAGCTATAGAGTGTTTCCTTAGCTTCCCCAGCATGCTAACTCTTGTGGAAAACCTTGTTACACATACACAGAACTAAACCAAACCAACCAGGATAAAGGGGACACCTAAGTAAGGTGCCCCCACCCACTTCTCCCTCACTCCTAGTTTTATGGGACCAGGTGCAATTGGTGGCCAGCTGGAATCCTGGGTGGGAGTAAATTAACTGGAAACTTCAAGTCACTTCTGCAGACAACCAGAAAAAAGGAGCTAATGATAGGGCAGCATGGCCCCGGAGCCCAACTCTAGCTGCTACTCACACAACTCAGAGCACTTCGGTACTTAGGCTGGAAACCATGTAGGCCCTGCCTGTCTGCATATCTGCCTGGAAGGCAGAGGCCAGGCCACCAGCCTTCACACTTTTCAGATGCTCTAAATGTAAAGATGAAGAGCTCAGAGGGACTGCTTCCTAGAGGAATTTGAAGAGGTGTCTTTCCATATTTCTAACTTGGAATAAATGTTATAACCCTATTTACTTGAGAAAAAGTTTCAATCTCAGTTCCAAATTTTCTATGACTCATACTACTGTATTACTACTACTACTACTACTACTACTAATAATAATAATAATAATAATAATAATAATGTTATTATTCCAGGAATAGCATTTCTAATTATATTGTGAATTTTTGTCTTCTTTTCTTAGGAAGAAGGAATACATAAAAAGTTGCTTGGCTATTCAAGGCAGAAGAGAGGTGGGTGAAGGTAAAAAAAAAACGACTTTCATTTGTTGCAAATTAACAAATAATAAAGTGAAGTTTTAGGATAATAGAGTTGTCCTTTTCCAGGTTGTTTCATTGAGGGAGAGAGAGAAGGAGGGGGAGAGAGAGGTGAAGAAAGGAGGGAGGGAGGGAGGGAGGAAGGAAGGAAAGAAGGAAGGAAGGAAGGAAGGAAGGAAGGAAGGAAGGAAGGAAGGAAGGAAGGAAGGAAGGAAAGAAGTCAGTTAGTAAGTTCTTATTGTTTACAGCTAGGATTTAAATTACATCATCCCAGCATGGTAAAGCCTCTTTTGAAATAGTTGCCTCTCTATAGGACACACACCCTCATCTTGCAAAGAATGCAGAAATTCAGAACTTTGATATTTATTGTGAACTTCACAGGCAAACTGCAGGAAAGAAATAGAGCACATTTGCATCCTTTCTTTCCACTAAACTGTGCCATCAGGAATACAGACTACAATCATTTCCTTCAGGCAATTTCATTCTCCATTTTCACAATTTCTTTTTATTATTATTGTTTTTAAGGTTAGAAAATAGACCCACTCTTTCTTTACCTAACACTAGCCTGAAGAATCTACTGGGTTCTATTGATTTTTCTGTCTTTGAACACAAGCTCATTAACCTGAAACACTAAGGGGATAACTGTATTTCACTGAGCCTATAACTGAGGGTCTGGAAACAAGATCCCGAGACAGTGGTACAATACAACCCTTCCCATGGGATTCCCTATCATTTTTATTATTATTATTATTATTATTATTAATTTTTGCAAATTCAGCTGCAGAAGCTATGACATTGCTTCCTTAACCCTAAAGACTTTCACATCAGTTAGAAGAAGCTTTCTTTAAATTCATTCTTCTTTATTGTAATAGCAAAATCAGGGTTCCTGTCTTTCCACCAACTTCTGCATTCTTACAAGCCACAGTGGGGGGGGGGATGTTAGCATTAAAGAACAGTGCTGCTGGGCCAGCGAGCTCAGCTGCCTCCTCTAAGCTAAGTGAGCTAGCGCTGGACTAAGGAACTATCTTGGATATATGGAAATGAGGTCTTTCCAAAACCCCCCAGGGACTTCCTTGAAACGGAAAAAAGCATCAGGAAAAATTCAGACAACAGACATCAGAAGCAGCCTGTTAGACAAGTCTCTCCAAGAAGCCCTATGAATGGGGCTGCATTTCATATATCTTCCCAATCCAGGAGAATGAAAGGTGTGACCCCACTCTTCCAAATAATGACAACGATGATGATGTAACATGTATTTTACCCAAGAAACCAATATAAAATTTTTGTGGCCTTGGCTTTTATTTGAGATCTCTGATGAGATCTGATGATCTGTACCCTTTCATTCAAGGCAAAAGACGTCTTCAAACTGTTTTTAATTTGATTTATCCTTTGAAACAGAAAGTGCATTACATTTAACTGGTCTTGCAAAGGGTTTTTTTTTCTCTTTACAAACTGAATTCCTTATATAAATTAATAAAGGTTAAAGATGCTAATATATCACCGTTATCAGCTTAAAAAAGAAAACAATTTACATAGTCCATAGTATTCTTATGATACAAAACACTTCAAATTCAGTTACAGCAACTAAATGGATTTTTATGTTTCTGACCCAGAGCAGTTGTAACAATTCCCACCATCTACTTTAACACGAATTTTTGTCAGAAAGGAGTTAAATTAAATACAAGCTATGGTAGCCCCTCCCTCCCCAACACTTTCTTTAAATCACTAATAAATAGCAACAAACGACTGTGCAATTTCAGAAAGGAACGGAGAGGCAAGTCTGAGGCCTTCCCTGGTTCCACGTCTTCTACTTCAAGTCCTGGAGGCGGGAGGCAGGGGCAGAGCCCGGGGGCGGTGGGCAAAGGCGGGAAAGGGAGAGGGGGACAGTGAGATCCAACACACCCAAACCGGGCCGAGGCGCGAGAGGCGAGGGAGGCTGAGAACACTCGTTTGGATGCTTCTCAAAATAAGTTCAAAATAAAAGGGGAACGCGTGGTTTGAATAGCTCTTAAAAGGGGGAGAGGGGGAGAAGGAGGTCCATCTAGTTCTACCAAATTCAAAAAAAAGCAGTTTACATTTTAAATATTCACAATAAAGTAACTTCTAGTCAGTGTGACTCACGATTTATTTACAAGGGGCCTTCAACAGGTTAGTTAGTCCGCACAGCAGTTTGTGGGAGCAGAAGCGTCCCTCTTCCCGTCTGTGGCGGCCGCCCGCCCGCGTGGCTCCGAGGTCCCCCGCGCCGTGGGTGTCGATCCTCGGAGAACCGGTCCCTGCGCCCCCGCCCCCGCCGCGCGCGGAGGGCCGGGACGGGTAAGGGCGGGGCGGGCGCTGAGGCCTCTCCCTCCCGGGGAGACGGGACTTGGGGACCGAACGTGGCCGGGAGGGTTGGCCCAGCTGCGAGTTTCGGTTGCGTTCTTTACGCAGTGAATTGCGTGAGGTTTCCTGCCTTACCAACTCCGAGTCTCTCTCCCCCACCCCACCCCACCCCCGCCCTCCTCAACTTCTAGGTTAAAAAAATAGATATGTACATCTCAGAAAATAGCAAAGGGCCCCCGCGGGGGAGGGGAGGCAGGGCGCGCGGCCCCGCGGCCGGGGCGGGCGGGGGCGGGGGCGCTGGCCCGGCGGCGGGCGCTCAGGACGAGCCCTCCGTCTCGGACGCGTGCAGCAGGAGGCCGCCGCCGCTGCCGGACTTGTGCTTCTTCAGCAGCTGCGTGATTTTCTCGTCGTCCGAGTTGGGGTCCAGGGGCTTGTTGTAATCGTCGTCGTCCTCCTCGTTCTCCGACGCCCCCTTGAGCCGCTCGGTCTCCGAGTCTTGCTTCTTCTTGGCCGTGGCCATCTCCGCCGCGTGCTTCTTCCTCCACTTGGTCCGGCGGTTCTGGAACCAGACCTGCGGGCCGACCCAGGCGAGGAGAGGGAGACAAGGGCGGCAGGAATTTAACGCGCGCGGATTCCGGTAGTGGCTACTTGTCCCACGTCCCGATGACGCTCCCGCGGGCCCCTGACGGCTGGCCACCCTCCCTCAGTGACACCCCTTGTCTGGGCCGTCAAAGTCCGTCTCCATCGCCCCCAGGTTCCTCTGAGTAACAGGCACCAACCAACTGCCGTTGCCATAGCGATAGTAACACAAGGGTAATGAGGTTGTCAGTGAGCCATTGCTCAGAAGAGAAAAAAACTTGGAAACTTAAAAATGAGTTTCCCAAAAAAGGAGTGCGCTTTCCTACTTTCTAGTTTCAAGTAGAAAACTTTTCCCCTTCGAAAATAATGACTGTGATTTTATTCGTTATTTACTTTCTTAGATTAAGGTATTCCAAACAACTAACGTGTACTCGCTTTTTAGTGTGATTTGTGGGAGACAGTATAGCATTTATCCCAATTACCTTCGTTCTCATTTTCCCTTTTGGATATCTGCCTATTTCACTTATGTCAGGTCTGAACACACAGACATGGTAGGAAAACACCCCTTTCAATTTATACTTGCAACGTATGATGTAAAGATTTTTTAAATCTAAAATAGAAACCTCAAATCACTAATAACCAATATAAATGCATGAAAATACTTAATAACTCAGTCGAAATCATCACAGTAGTTTGTGTGTGTCTTTCTCTGCTTTAATGTTTTTCATAAAACGAAAGTCAAAGTTAGAGTTTTCATCAGTTATTTTTTTAAAGTGAAATTTTGCCAGTTACATTATTTTCCACTATTAGCATGCCTAGTCTTTCAAAAATTATTTTAATATTGTTTCTCCCCAATATATTCATTTCATATATAATATTTCAAGACTATTTACGATGATTGACACCCATGTTTGATACACATATTTTAACCTAAAGCACCAGCAATAAGCAACCAATTTCCCAAACATATTGAATTATCCTTTTTATGCTTCTCATCAATTTTTCTCATCCATTATGTATTTTATCTAGAGAATCAGAATTGTTAAGAAAGTGATTTTGATTTTCTTTATATAGTTATAATAATTCACTTTGAGCCACACAGGCATATTTACAAGACAAATGAAGACCTCCAGATTACTGTGGCAGCTCTGTACCAACCACCGCGAAACTAATTTTAACTGTGATGGTATTCTAATGGTCACATAGAAAATCACTCTTGAAACGCATTTTATGATGTTTTGTCCAGGGAAAAATATACTCTAACCAGCAGACATGGCTAGCAGCTATTCCTGCCTAAAGAGCAACAATATGACTAATGAAAATGGACACGGACACACACACACACACACACACACACACACACATTCCCCCAAAACCAAATATAATAAATGAAGAAGAGGAATAAAAGGGAAAACTAGAGATATAGGAAACCACTAGATTTAATTTGCCTAGCTGGCCCAACCCCTTTATTTTTCTAGGGAGGGTTTCAAAAATTTGATTCCCTGTAAATACATTGTACAACTCAATCATAAGCTAAGTAACATTTTAATTAATTAGTTGCCACAAACAGTACAATATATCTATTGATAAACTTATTTTAAACAGGATTCAATTTCATAATACAGTAATAATCTTGTTAATTCATTTAGAAAATTACTATTCCAAGGTGATTGCCTTCAGCTAAACTAAAAGCCGATTCATCCATGCTAAGTGGTTAGATCCTGTGGATTTATTTATTTTTTAACCTGCAAGTTAATATAGTAGCACTTTAATGCTGATCTACATTAGGAAATTATATAACTAGTGGAGTCTGAATGGACAAACAAAAGCTTGACTATCTTTACAAATAGAATAAATAGAAGCTATCTAAGTGGCCTGATCTATTATCAGGGCTGATATTTCGGCAATGCTTTTATTCCCTAATAATGGCGAGTTCTCCCAGCACATGCTGCTATCTAGATTGACCTAATTTCAAAGGCGGGGGGGCTTGATTCCTTTTGTTCATCAACAGTTTGACCTCCCGGGAGATTCCAGAGCCTTTGTAACCCCCACCCTGACCCCCTTCGCTGATCCCATCTTCTCCCCAGACTCCTCAGACCCGCACCCCAGGCGTCTGTTCATTAGATTGGTGGATGGGTGGGTGGGCGCGTCGGGGGAGGAGGACCTACCTCTAGAGGTTTTCAAGGCCCACTCACCTTGACCTGGCTCTCCGTCATCCCCAAAGAATAGGCCAAGCGAGCTCTCTCGGGCCCCGCCAAGTATTTTGTTTGTTCGAAAGTCTTCTCCAGGGCGAAGATCTGCTGGCCCGAGAACGTGGGTCTCGTGTGTTTTCTCTTCCCGTCTTTGTCCAACAAAATGGATCCTTGATCTTCGAGAATAGATAATCAAGGACAGGGGGGAAAAATCGGTTACAGGGGGCTCCACTGAAAAAAAAAAACGAACTCGCAAAACAAGGTTTGGATGGGAAAGGAAAGCTCATTCCGGGGCGGGCATCAGAAGTGTCGTGGCCCTTCCAGTCCCTCCGCGCCTCCCTTTTTGCCTTTTTACCCCACCTGTTTTTTTAAAAAGCCAGGTGCGTCTGGAGCAGCTGTAAATAACCTTCTGCCCAATACCGATGTCAAACAGCCAGGGAACAACACATCGCTAAAGTTTGCCGGAGCCGAATCGCCAGGCCCCAGTGAACTGAGGAGTGAGGGATAGGGGTTTGTGGGGTGGAAGGCTGCTCTCGCCTCTTGGTCCAGTCGGTGCTCGCTGGGCCCCGCAGGCTTTGCATTAAGATGACTAGTTTTTTTCCGTGAACGCCTTCCTAACCTGTGTCCGCACTACAAAGGGCGCCTTGTTTTTTGCACACAAGAGAGCGAAATTGCCCCAAGTCTAACGCTGCCGAGGCCAAAGGGGAGGGGGCGCTGCCTTTGTTGGCGGTCCCTACAAGGCCATCAAAACGAATACAATAGCGTCTCCGCACACCCTCACCCGCCCGGGCCACCCTCCGTCTCGAAGCTTCCCAGGGGAGCCTCCAGTAGGCTCCTGCAACTTCCCTCAATTACTGCCGCTCAGCCACACTAAAGAGGTCCGGAGACTTAGAGGAAACTTCGGGGACTCAGTCAAAAGCAAAGAACAGAGCAAGCAAGGGACTCGGGGCTGGGCCCCGAACGCCACCACGAAGGCTGGGAGGCTCCGGGGACGGTGGCAACTACCCAGAAGATTAGAGTGATCCCGGGGCAACTTGGTTTCAAGCGAGGTCCCTGCGAGATGTTGCATTTTCCCTGGTCCTTGTCCCGTCACCTCGTTCTTCCTCCAGTTTTTTCTCGTATTACGATGTTGAGGGCCACGTTGCCCCTCACGATTCCCGGGCCCGAGGCTCCCCGGCCCCCCTGGGTCAAGGCAGGTGGGAAAGCTAGGGCCCAGAGATGCGGAGCGGCCCGAAGTGACTGGACGTTCGCTCTCCTCCGCGGGCCGCCGTCCTGTCTTCAATGGGCTCATCCGGGCCGAGTGTACCCGGGGGCAAGAGCAAAAAGGTGAGGTGGAGACACCTTGGGCCGAGACATATGAACAAATATACGCGCTCCGCTCAGGGCTGTGGAGGGCTTGCCGCTGCCGGTCCCCACCGGTTCGCAGAGCCGAGGCCAGTTAGGCTGGCGAAGATGGGGTGGGGCCCTGGCCGGCAGGCAGCAGCCTGGAAAGCAGGGGTGCGGGCGGGGTGCAGTGGCCTCTCCTGCCCTCCCCACCTCTCTAACCCAGGCCTGGCCTGCGGTTCCGGCTGGGTTGTTCCCGGAGCAGCGAGGCCTCGGGTGAGACACACGCCCCTGCACCGCGTTATGTTCCACGCGGAAGCGTGCACACCCACTCCGCGAGGCGTGCCCAAGACTGGGGGGAGAAGAGGACGCTTGAACGCAACCACGCGAGCTCAGGAAAGCGAGAATCTCTCGCTGAACGCCCTGGCCCAGCCTAAATCGTGAGATTCCGACGCAGCCAAACTACTAGGAAGGCAAGAGGGTGGACTGGCCCGAGAGCGGGCAGAGCGCGCACAGCGGGGCGCGGGCGGTTGTACTCACGGGGCGTGCAGGCCAGGCGCGCGTCCCTCCAGGGCGGGCTCTGCATCACTCCTGGCCAGAAGATGGGTGTCCGGCCGGGCAGCTCGGCCAGCGGCTTGGGGTACCGACCTACAGCGGCCACGGCTGCGGCACTGGGACTGAAGTAGAGACCGGGCGGCGGCGGCGGCGGGCTCAGGCTGCTGAAGCGGGGCAGGCCGGCCAGCAGCCCCGCTGGGGAGGAGGCAGCGGCTGCGGCGGCCGCAGCCGCGGCAGCAGCGGCCGAAGCAGAGGAAGCGGAGGTGGACGAGGAAGAGGAGGAGGAGGAACCCGAGGGCGAGGCGGAGGGCAGGGCGGCCCCTGAGGCCAGGGGCATGGAGGGCCGGCTCAGGATGTCGTTGATGCCGTGTGGGGTGGCGGCCGAGAGCTGCTGCGGGGGGCTGCCCAGGGACGAGAGCCCCCCTGCGGTCGGGGGCTTCAGGCTGCCTGAGTTGTGGGCGCCCAAAGGCGGGGAGGGCGACGACGAGGAGGACGAGGAAGACGAGGAGGAGGGAGGACCGGCGGGCAGCGGGGGGTACGCGGCGGGGTACAGCGGGGTCTTCATTTCGGCCATGCTGTGCAGGGCGGCCAGGGGCGGGCTGCTGAGCAAGAACGCGCTCTGCCGGGTGCCCTCCATCGCCCCCACCGCTAACATCCCACGGCCAGGCCGGAGCCTGCAGCCACACAGCGAGGGCGCCGGCCCGTGCCCCCGGCGGGGCTCAGGGGAGCGCGAAGCGCGGAGGGCGCGAGCGAGGAGTTGTCCCGCACACCCGGAGGCGACCTGCCGACTAGGCCGAGAACGCAGCCGCCGAGAGCTGCTCGTTGAGCTGCGCAGCAGCAATGTCCAAACACGCCACTCGCGAGGCGGTGGCTCGCGGAGACCAGCGGGCGTCCGGGTGGGTTTGGCTGTCCTTTCGCTCCTCGAGTCCTAGATTCAATCTCGGTGTCTTCTCGCTTCCTCACTTTTCCTTGCCGCTCAAAGTGCGCGACTTCTCATCTTCGCCCCACGGGAAATAAGCAAAACAAACCCCAGGCCGGCCCCAGAGAGTTTGTAACAAAGTTAAGAGTCACCAAATCTCCACTTTGATGTTGTAGGATGGGGGCTGGCTCGCTTTCTTTAGGAAGGTTCAAAGGACGCCGAGTTCCGCCTGATGCGCTCCTCTAATCTTACTCGGAAGCCCTGCTCTTTCCGCCGTGAGGCTAATTCGCACTCGGCGCTCGCTGCGCTGGGGAGGAGAGCGCTTCTAGCCCGCGGGAAGGTCTCGCCTCTGGGCGGGCTTCCTCCGCCGGCGTTGCCCCGGGCGGCTGAGCCAAGAAGGGCAGTGCCACCAATCCGCGCGGCTCCCAGATTCCGCGCGCCGACCAGCCTTCCCCTCTGGGCCGCTGGGCACTAGAGTTGCAATATCGAAAAGAAAAGAGGGGAGGGAAAAAAAAACAAGTCTAAGTGTGAAAAGTCTGACGGCTTTGGTTACGGCTCCGCTGTCTGTCCACTTCTGCAAACGGGCCTGGCGACCCCCGCCCCACCCCCCAGCGCCCGCTCCTCCTCTCACTCGCCGCCTTTGCTTCTCTTTTCTTGCATTTTCTTCGCGGCTTTACAGGCTTTTGCTCCTCTAAGTCCTGTCCTCTGGCCAAGCTGACCCTCTCCGCGGCGCTCTCTCTATCTCCCTCTCTCTATCCTCTCTCCCTCCGGGCCTGACAGTTCAGATGAAGCTCTCAAAGGTAATAAAACATTTGCATCACTCCCTACCCCTCTTTAGAGGGGGGAACGAAAGGGCGGGGGAATGGGGGGGGTCCAAAATAAGAACTTTGGGGGACGTCACTCCGAGGCGGCCAAGATAGGCGGGGCTGAGGAGCGGGAGCACCGCGCCTTCTGATTGGCTGAAGAGGGCGAGTCGTAAGGCCGCGCCCGCCTTGTCTCCGCCCCCTTCCCACTTCCATCCCTCCTGTGGGTGGGGTCAGGGGGCGGGGCCTGGCGAGTGGTGCGGTTCCGCCGCGGGGCCAGTGGACGCCTCAATTAATTGTGTTAAATAAAATGGGAGAGGGGAGGAGGGAGTAGAGACGAAGAGGGTATTACTTTTTAAAGGGAAGAATAATGAAAACCCAGCCCTTTTATGGAAAAGCAGTTCATATTCTTCCCTCGCCTCCCCCCTCTTCTGTTCGCTTTACCCTACCCCCTTCCCCCACAAGCTTGAGGCGCCTCACCTCGAACAGAGTCTGGTCCCTTGTAAAATGGAGCTAATGGAGCAGGCAGCCGGCGCAGCCCCGGCCTAGCTCCTTCTTTTGAAGGGATTAATTAAAGGCCATCTGGGCTCTCCCAGAATTGTGCAAATTAATTTGTTGTTCCTTAAGCCTATAGATGTCCTTAATCTCCTTGTAGGCCGAAGGAGCGCCCTCTCCCATCCTTGCCACATCCCACTTTCCTTCTCTGTTCTTTCTCTTTTACTCTTCTTTTCATTCCTGAGTCTCCCCGCAATCGTTATCATTTATAGTTTTACTCAATTCGCTGGTAACGGAATCAGCTTAATGGGAATTATTTACCTCTCGTGGGATGTTTAGACATGAGAGCAATGAGCTTTTTCTCTTTTTAACTTTTCTCCCCTTTGGTTATTGTTATTTGTTTTGCGTAAGGTGGAGCCTTTAGATACCGAAGTATCTGTTTACCCTCGGGGACTGTTAAGTCCTTAAAACCGTATCCGAAACTCTAGCCCGTTTCCCTCCACTGCAGGGTTGTTTTGGGAGATGGAGATGTCCCGACTTCAGGGCTGTGGTGATGGATGCCAAAGGTTTAAAACAGAGTTGGAGGACAGTTTCCTTATTCCCTTCTCAGTCTCTTCTATCCCTGGCGGGTCTTTAAATTCCCCGCAGGGTTGAGCTGTGTACGTAAGGAGGAAGACCCTTGCAGAATTTTGAAATTTCGGGATGTGAAAGTAACACACCATTGGGTTATGGTCATTACAGCAATTTGGATGAGATCATTAAGTCCAAATTTAATTCTCAAGAAACAGAAAGAAATAGCTCAAGAGTAAAACTTGAGCGGCACCACCCATGGATGGAGTTTGCTCTGTGTGCCAAAACACTCACGTGGGGGTCCAAGCACGAAAAGCAGGGAGGGTTTGAGCCGCTTTAATAACCTCCGTTTCCAAAGCACTGGCCTTTTAAGGGTAGCAGGTTGAGCTTGAGCTGGTTTTTCTTTTTTCTTAATTTTTGTTTATCTTTTGCCACTTTTATTATTCACTTAAGGGATTTTTTTAAATGTTGTTCTCATTTGGTCCCCCTCCTCTGCTCTCTCCACCCTTCTTCATTAACTTCCAGACTGGGCTAAATCCATCATTTCAATAGACCTTAGAATCTGACCTGGGAGAAGGTGAAGCCCTTCCTCTGCGAGAATTACGCTGAGTCGGGTAAGAAGAGAGCTGATGTAGGGCCCATCTGCATTTCCCCCCGCAAAGATGCTCTGCTGAGCTGTCTGTCTTAACCCAGCGGGAGGATGGTGCACCTCGCCGGCCTTGGCCCGGGTGTTGCGCCCCTCTGCCTTTCACTTCGTTACAAACGAAACTTTTTCTCTCCTCGGGAGACTCCAACACGGCGGTGGCACACAATCTCCGCCTGGACCCGGTGCCTGGGCCACCAATGACCCCCTGTCTCCCCCCTGCCAGGCACCGTATTCTCAAGGTCTAGGTAGGAATGGCAAGTGAAGGAAGCTAGTGATTCCCAAAGATTCCAATTTCAAAAAGCGACCCCCTTTATTTCATGTAAATATTGTAACCTGAGAAAGAATTGAACAGTTTCCTATTGTAAATTTAGTATCTGATATGGGGTGGGGGGGGAAGAGACAGAAGAGAGAGAGAGAGAGAGAGAGAGAGAACCCAACTCCAGGTTAATGGCCATTGGTAAATAGTTGCAAAACTGGGCGTGCATAAGAAGTCTCCATCGACTGCTTTTATTCACATTGCGGAATTAAAATAGCAGCATTGTTCTCAATTGTGACAATAAAAAAGATGAAGGAATCTGTGTACCTGGGTCCCCGGGAGTGAGCCCCGAGTGCCTGAATCTCGCGTGGGGGCAGTGTGTATTCCTGCGCGGCGCTGAAGGAAGGCCGGTGCCCTCTCCTCTGTCTGGTGCTGCTGGTCATCGATCTGCTCCGTCTGTCTCCAGCTGGGAGCAGGGAAAGCAAGGGGCATCCTCGTAGAGGCTGGGCTGACCCTGTTACTCGCCCGGAGAGATGGCCCTGCCCCTAAGGAGTTGAAACCACTCTCGGGCCCGAGTCCTAGACTAGCAGATCCCGATGCTGATGCGGGAGGCCGGGTTCTGGTCTGGGCCGTCTTACACAGGGCTTACAAACGCCCCAAGAGTCAGGACGTACTCTGCCTGCAGGAACCCCCAGCCTGCACAGTTTTCTGCCCAAGACCTAACATAGTCATACATTTCTAAGCCACCCCCAGGAATGGACCGTGTAACACGTGGTCCCGACGCGCCCCCCGTCGCATCTTTGATATATATATTTGGAGGGGGGCTGTGTTTGAAAGCGAATGATTTGCATTTTAATTGAAAAATAAATGAAAGCGATTTGGCAAATTCTGAGGTTAAGGGGGAAAAAAGGCTAATAGGGCAGGCAGGGATGAGGAAAGGCGAGGCGCTCCTCAACTTTCTTTGAGCCTGAGAACAGCCACACCTGTTTGCAAGTTACTGCTTTAGCCTGCGCCACCCACTGGACTTCCTTACCCTCGGTTTCACCCTTAACTCAGAAGCGCCTGGCGCGTTTTGTTGCTTGTTTTAAGTTGATAGAAAAGCCACAAAATTCAGGGTAACTCACGGAATGAATGCAAATGAAATCTCAGCTAAATGCACTTATATCCAGAGTTCGGGATGAATATTAACCATTCTTCTCCAAATATATTAATGTCAAATGTTGGGATTCTCAAGTGTAGCCACAGGAAGCGAGTTTCCTACTCACAAAAGGTGTGAGTGTATGTGTTGGGGTTGAGGGGGGAATGAAGGAAATTATGTGGGCGTTCAGGCCAAACACCTCTCTAAAAAATGTTTGCTTGAATTGTCTAGATGATTTCTTTAATAATTCCACTTCGGCGCACAACTGGGCCTGTTTGGGTGGAACCCGAGGCCCTCTGGGTTTATGTTAATGTTGTAACAGGGGTTCAAGCGGTAGGCTAAGTAGAAACTTCAGGGAGAAAAAAAAAATGTCCCGAAGCTTGAAACAGCCCAGTCCAGGAGAAGGAGAGCCGAGGAAGAAGGAGAGCGTGTCTATTTTACCTCCTGTAAGTGCAGTGGAGTGGGAACTGGACGTTTGACTGCTGCTTCTACTGACCAGGAATTAATAAGACGATTTGGAAAGGGTTGCGGGAGACAGGGGCCAACAAATGGCTGCTGGCGAAGAGCACTGTAGGGTCCTGTGTTCAGCGCTTTCCCAACGGACGCCAGTACAAAACAAGTGAGGGAAGCGACAGCCTTGTGGGTTCTACTACGGAAAAGGTCTCCAATCTCAAGCCTGGACATCCCTTAACCATCTTCAGGATGGCAGCAGGACGCACCATCACAGAATCCGTACTGAGTTTCTCTTGGGGGAATAAGTGTCCTCGGAAGGGAATGAGGAGTCCGAAAGATCCAAGAAGATCAAGCCCAGAAATGTCTGCAATGTCAAAACCCGAATTCGGGAATAAGAGTAAAATACAAGACAGCACCAATGACCTACTAGAGAGAAAACCGATCTTGAGCGTCAGCAAAGCACAGGTAACTTCAGCAAAGCACATGTATGTGTGTATAACCCCTCCCATCCCCCAAGCATTTTCTGCAGAGACCCATTTGCTTACAGGGAACCCATTGGCTTTGAAGTATATTCTGGAAAACAAGGACCTGGCATTGAATCATGAGCTTTAAAGAATGTCTGTGGGCCGCTACAATTTCCTATAATAAAATGCTAGTCTAGTTTGATCCATCAGATTAAACAGAATCTGATGTAAACGGCCATGAAAAATTTTTACCTGGACGTATAAAAATAAGGTCCATTGAATGTAATTTAGGTAATTTTTCAAGTCTGTAAACTAGTTCCTCTTTATGTCCTGGTAAAAGTTGTCCCTTCTGACTTGAATGTGCGTGAGCGTGTCAGTATTAGTCCTTTCAGCCGCCGCACGTGTGTGGCTCCTTATTCTGCGGTGAGAAAAGTTATTTTATTTGCGTACCTGCTTGGATTACAGTGCCTGGTTCCCTCGCGCACCATTTTAAAGAAAGCCTGAGCAGTTACCGCCCTCTTGTGGAAAAAACTTATAAGCAGCTCATTCGGTGTGGAGAAGCAAGCCGGCATGCTGTGTTAAAAGTACATGCTGTATTTATTTCCTTAATGAGGTGGTCTGCCTTTGTGTAACTGCCTGCTCTTGGATTAACATTTGCTTAATTTTTATCTGACATGCAAAATTCATGAAGTGAACTGTGGGTCTGGCAGTTCTTGCTTTATTGAATAACAAAAGCCCTCTAAAATGAACATTTGGATTTTATTGTAAATGTTTCTTCCTCACCTACCCTTCCTTACACTCCATTATTTGACTTATTGTGATAAAGCAAATTTCAATTTTTATTGGAATAATTTTCTTTTTCTACTTTTCCTCCCTGATTATCAAATGCTCAAGACAGAGCATTTGGAAAGTACAGAGAGTTATAAAAACACAGTCACTCGTAATCCTACCTTC